TTAGACAACATGATGTCAGGTCACTACGCCCTGATTTTAGACAACTTGATGTCAGGACAGTACACACTTATTTCAGACAACATGATGTCAGGTCACTATGCCCTGATTTCAGACAACTTGATGTTAGGACAGTATGCCTAGATTTTGAATGCTATTGATGTTTTGTCTTTTGTCTGTTGCCCAACTTATCAATGTTATACTACAAATCCATGTTTTTTCTCCTTTAAATGTCCTATATTCTTTGATTCCCGAGATGTTCACAAGTTCAATCTGTGGGCCATACCATGAATACTGACAAGATCAGGAAATCTTTCTCAGAATCCTGTTGAACCCCCAATTTTGCATTACGGACACCCCATTACTTCCAAACACAATAATTTTATCCATGGGAATAATTTTATAATAAGAGGGTTATCATAATATACGATATTACAATAGGCCCAATGGGCCTGCATCGCTCACCTGGTGTAAATCTCACATTTGTAACCTTAAAAGTGATCTAAAATAAAGCTACAGGCAAAATATCCGTATTTATGATTAAAATTAATTCAAAAGACCCTGTTAATTTTTTTTCAACATTTCACCCCTGTGATTGAAAGTCGAACAAATTTTATAGCCTTTCATCTCAGGATGCAACTTGCAAAGTATCAACATCCTGGGACCAATGGTCATTCATTTGAACAAACTTTGAAGCACTTCATCTCAGCATGCTACTGGCCAAATATCATCACCCTCGGCATTTTGGTTATTGAGAAGAAGTTGTTTAAAGTTTTTAAAATATTTGACCCATGTGACCTTGAATATGTGTGAAGGTCATTCATTTGAACAAACTTTGTAGCCCTTCATCTCAGCATGCTACTGGCCAAATATCATCAACCTGGGCATTTTGGTTATTCAGAAGAAGTTGTTTAAAGGTTTTTTAAAACAATTGACCCCTGTGACCTTGATTATAATTGAAGGCCATTCAGTTGAACAAACTTGGTAGCCCTAGGCCTTCACCCAAGCATGTTATTGGCCAAATATCATCTCCCTGGGCAGTTTGGTTATTCAGAAGAAGTTGTATAAAGTTTTTAACATATTTGACCCCTGTGACCTTGAATATGGGTTAAGGTCATTCATTTGAACAAACTTGGTAGCCCTTCATCCCAGTTTGCTTCTGGCCAAATATC